CCTATTACCATGGATCAGTAACTGTTTTCCTCTGATGATCACAATAAGCCAACCTATCTACACAGCCTCTGGCCACACTGGATAGTGTTACACAACCAACAAGTAGTATACAATCAAAAAATGTATTACAAAATTAACTAGGTATACAAATCAACTCAATTACAATGGCAGTACACAATAGAGCGGTAGTACAATATTGACAGTATATAATATGATGGCAGTGGTTAGTATCAAATACGAAAAGTACAGTGGTGATAGCAAAAGTGAATGATAATAATATTCATTCACCCAGTGGCGACAGTGGACAAGCTTCCATGATGGCTGGGCAGGCAATCAGGGATCCTCACATGAAAGCTTGTTCCGAAGCGATGAAATGCTAAGAGAGATACGTAAACACGCTCTTGTCCAACTATATGTACAGCCTAACAGCTACTGGAAGTTTCTATACCGTGCCCTCACCAGTCAAGCAGCAATAGACCATTGTAGAACTGTTTCTATGTTTCCATAACATACAATATCATAAAAATCATAACTTAGATCTCGCTACTGCTAAACAAAGATCTGAAGACATCCCATTACGAATCACGTCAGACCGACCTTGCGCGAACTTTGACCGACTAATAGAAGGCTGACAAGAAGTCGACATTAGCCAATCAGAAGGCAGCTTTCTCGTGCTTCCCAGCGTTAATTTTCAAATTGGCGACTATGCTTCGAAACATATTTTTACAAATCTTCGATTAAAACTTTGAAACCTGAACAAAAGAACATTGTGGAATGGCTAAGATATGAACTAGATTGTATGGATTTAGTCGTTAGACACGTAACTATCTTTTGGAATACCCCGTGTTAAAATTTTCGAGGTTACATGATAAGAAATCCCATTCCGACTGTCACTTTCATGCTCTGGTAAGCGACGATCTGATTGGTCGGATGAAAGGTCGTTCTGACTTGACCCCTAAGATAGCATTACCTTCACAACTGATAATAACAATTACATAACAGGCCTCTACTGGCGAAACAGAAACATTGCAACACAGCTACAATCACGATCAAACAATGAAATACACTGCCATATAACAGTCCATCCATTATTTTTTCCGCATGCGTTAAAATCCTTTAGCCAATCAGTAAAACTCCCAATCTCCTGTGTACGAATCCAACAAAACAATCGGTCTTGAAATCTTTGTATTTCCATCTCGTTCCATCTATTGTCCACATTCGCATTTCCAGAGGCATTTGTCGTCTTTGGCAACAATGCAGTTTACCGGGTGCAACCTCTACCAGCAGCCCAATTACCGCACTACCTTTGTCTCGCTATACCGCTACTGTTGCTGACGCTCCAATGCACTCGCACTCGTGTCAGGGAGCTGACACGCCTTGGCGATCCAACACACCTTTTCGATCTTAGCCTGGTAGACATAGCGGGGTTAGACATAGATTCTTTCCTTTTTACAGTTTTTCCAATAATCCAATGATGGTTATCATATTAGAGTATAGTCCTTTTTAACACGTTTGGTCACTCGAATGGAGACGCAATCATTGTTTACCTAACTGCACATGCGTGTTACTGAGCTGCAAGTGACCCGTTAAACGAGCACAAATTACATGTGATGATCCCCTTGGTCAATTAGCCAAGCCAGTAAGAAGGCGAAGCGAGCCCTGGCAGTGATAATTGGATCTGAAATAGTGCGCCCAGTGACGTGCACTCTTCCCCCATCTGCCACCATTATAGGAATCACAATGGGAACACAAGATGAATCAATCTGTATCTTTCAACGAAAATATAAGCCTTCAGTGAAATCAATGGACACAACTGACAATAGCACACACACAGACACAATCCGTTCAGCCCTCTGTAACACGCCATACCTCTCTCAACCCGACCCCAAAACTATCCGCTAACTATCTCGTCTTCCGTACCTCAGAGACAATGTGCACCTAGTGCAAGCAAACATACCATCTTCATAGGGGATATCACCCAAGTTTAAACATAGTAATTATAATGCAGATAGTGTATAATTTGAGCACAGGGCGGGCCCAAAGTTAATGCCAAACCAACCTATGTTGTGGATGGGGGCGCTATACAAGCGCTGGTGGCGTGATTTTGGCGGACACCATCCATATCATCGGGCAAAAACCACAATGGTAGCGCCATTATGCTGGTTGTCTGCTTCACAGCTGGGGCCCATTTATCCAGCCTGCAGATCTTCAGCAGCTGGATGCTATAGCATAGCCTTAATTATTTCTTGTCTGCTCAGGGTCCAGCAGAGAGCTGATTTATTGGCAAGCTGCACTATACTAACACCAAGGGAGTTATCTTCCTTTATGCGTGGTGCCCGACTCGTCCATCTACAATTTGGCCTTTTTTTGCCACAAAATTAACCCCTGTTGTCATTCTCTGTCATTCAGTGTATATTGATTTCAACGGTCGTTTACGTCACACCAGTGATCTCTCAACTATACAAATTTAATAGTGAGTGAGTATGGTTTCACGCCGCTTTTAGCAATATTCCAGCAATATTCCAGCAATATCACGGCGGGGGACCCCAGAAATGGGCTTCACACATTGTACCCATGTCGGGAATCGAACCCGGGTCTTCGGCGTGACGAGCTAACGCTTTAACCACTAGGCTACCCGACCGCCCCACAAATTTAATATATTCCTATCCAAGCCACAGGACGTCAATAATAAAAGCCTCATTTCCATAGCCACAAGAAATCTCTGCTGAAAGTAAAGTCGATTTACAGTTTCGATTAAAGCATGGGCATGTGTTATTTTTACAAAACTCTTTCTATCAGAACATTTCACGGAACGTAAACACATTAATAAAGAATGACAATAATGAGTGCATATTTGTATTGCGGTTATTTATCACCTAAAGTATGGTCATGGCGCTTTACAATTATTACACTGGTGGATGATGGCTAAGTGAGAATACATAGATGATATTTCCTGTGTCGAGTGTGTGGGTGTGTGTGTGTGTGGGGGGGGGGGGGGGGGGGGGGGGGGGGGGGGGGAGGAGATATTTTCACACGTAGCTATACCACACGTAAAAATATCTCCTTTCTCCCCGTCACATGATATTTCACGAGACACATGGAATATACTATTTATAATATACCTTTTGTGTTACCGGATTTTGTTTTCATTACAAATTTAAAAACATTGAAACGTAAATTCTCCCTACCTAACACGCAGGTAGTTCCGACTTTGCAAAATCTTCAAAAATATAAACAAAAGTAACAACAAATATTTGAAGTCACTAAAATTCGTTATGATACATTTGGATATTAAAGTATATATAATCTACTTCAACAAAAAATATTCTTGAACGCTGACCGCTGACAGGAAGCGACGAAATACAGGCTTGATAAGTAACGCTGAAACAAACAGTCACGATTGACGAGTTAAATGAGAAAATTACAGTTTAAATGAAACATTTTAAAGAGAATAACAAACGGCAAGATGCAATATAAATGGCCATCTGTCATTATTTGGCCTTTTCAATGTGGAACTAACGTAAACATGTAGGCAACAGTTTGTGTACGACACTTACGATGAAGGGAGACAATTGGCGGGGAGGTAACTCTAGTATGACAATAGTTCAGTCAAAGTGTTATGTTCACTGCAGTGAAATATAAAGCGTCATGTTCACTGCATTGAAATATCAAGTGTTATGTTCACTGCAATGAAAATGTCACCTTTCTCAACTTCAGAAAACTGTCTTTCACACTGAAGTATAGAATAAAAGTGACATTAATCTCATCCAACAAGGTACACGCATTCATGCTGGGTGTATTGATGCATTTGTCGAACAAAGTCACTTGCCCAAGGAAACTCGACACTTTTTATAACCTGTGCCTCAAAGTCTTCCTACTGCCGGCTGCTGCTTACCTCCGCCAATTTTTTTTACCTGTGCACTTGGTGAAAGCTTCTATGACAACCGTACCTTAGCAAAAGTCAAATATGACTGAGTCCAACAATGATGGGCTGCGCTGATAGACGCCATCGTCATTGCATAATGCTTACCAGTTAGTTCTTTCTTCAAGTTTGGGAAGAGGTGGAGATCTGACGGTGCCAAATATGTTGAACACGGATGGTGTTCAATTCTCTCCATTGGAATCCAATAAAACATTAGCCACCCCCTTGCCCACTGACAGAACAGATTTTGCTTTCTTCAGAAGAAGGGACGTTAGATGTTTTCGCTGCTTTTACTGTTGTTTACTCTCTGGCTGATCGTGGTGAACTCACGAATCATCCACGGTTTCAAATCGCTTGACGGAATCAGCTGGATCTGATTAAAAACGACGTAATTTCTCACGACACCACGAGTCTGGAGCCATGGAACCAGCGTGCTGAAACGTTTGTCATGGTCAGTTCATTCATCAGAGTGTATTCAACTCTCTCATGAGAGATTGCGACTGTATCGGCTATGTGACGTGTGCTGAATCGTCGATTATCCATAATCACATGCATTTCATCAATATTTACGTAAGTGGTTGCAGAGAACGGTCTTACCGAGGCTCTTCTCTCTTCTCTTCTTCAGTTGGAGATACTTGATCATGACAGTATGGTAGCCAGTTTTGTAAATTTACATCATTAACAGAGAACAGTTTAATGCCCACCGAATGCCCGTGGTTTTGTATTTGTTCCAATGCAGCCAGTGAGCATGGAAAGTATTGTACTTACTACTTACATACTCTGAAAGGTGTACAATACATACGAAGTTAGTCTCAGAACATTTCAGTCACCCCTTATATCATCTAAAGCTTCCATGGAGTTTGGTAATCTACATGAGAAAATTGCTGGCAAGTTGGTACAATAAGGGTGTAACGGTAAAGTTTCATCTGAAAATGACCACTGACTTTACAAAATGGCTAGTCTGTATGAAAATATAGAGTACTAACTGTTTGTCCAGGTGAATATCACATTTCAAACATAAACAAAGTCCTAAATAAAAGCTGTACACTTTTATTCAGTCATATCCACAAAACAAAAAGTCAGTGATTTAGACAACAGGTCAATTAAGAATACAAGTAACTCTTTTGTTTGTTGTTCTAAAAATCTGTTTTCTATTTATTCATTTTTTCATTCAACCTACAGTGTTTTTTTCAGAAACTACTTCAAAAGAGAGAGAAAAAACTTGTAAGCCAAGTTATCAGAAACAGAGGTCTTCACATACTCATCTTCAGCCGTGACCATCTTTGTAAGACGTTATTTAACATATTGCCTAGAATTTACTTTTCAACAAAAGGCGGTAATTATAGAATGTCAATTAGAAGTTCGATTGTATATTAATAAGAATCATGTATATGTATATGTTTAAGAATCATATTTATTTCATTCGAACTTTGATGCTAAATGAATGAAAGGTTTCTCAAATATTATAGACATCTTGTGACTTCTGTTTCTCAACTACAAAAATATATTTAATATTGTAAGAACATTGCTTCTATTGAGAAAAGTAATATAAACTTAAATTGCATCATCAAGAGTAAGCAAAACATTATTGACACATAATTAAGATAAGATAATACACAAGCCATTCATTCCACAATCGCACAAATAATCAGTCAATTTATGAAACTGCTAATCCAAATAAGTGAAAATGTGTAAAAAGCTTGAAATAAAATTAAGTATTGAGAGAAAGGTTGGCGTTATTTGTGTAGCTGGAGTATATAACATAATCATTGCAAGACTATAAGAACCACCTAAGGGTGACATAGTAAACTCAACAAAGTCAGCGAGTGAGTTACAAACATTTCGGCGATAGCTCAGCCATGAGTCCAGCAATAAAACTTGTAATTATGACGTTGCGATTTTGCGAATTTGTTTCACACTAACACAGTAGGTGTGTGAATAATATATATGAAACTCTGGGGATCTGAGTTTCTCTTAAGTAAATGTTTTCACCTGATAACCATATTTACACAAGTTAAACCAGTGTTCAATTTGTCACTTAATGCGCACTGGTACAATGATCAAACAAATGAAGATTTCCCTGTTAATTATTTGGTCAGTCACCGTTCTCTGAGAGTAGGTCTTTTATTTTGTCTACAAAATCTATTTCTCTCTTTGGCGATAACTCGCAGGACACATGTATGGTTTGATTAAGCCCACTGTACATCATCAGCCACAATGGGTCTCTAAACATGACTTCAGGAACCTTTGCGACGACTCTCAGGTGACTTACGTCAAGGACATGGATTGTGTCTTGTGCTTCATCGAGTATGAAACAGATATCCAGACTGTGTGATGTATCAGGCTTGTTTGGAGTTAGGGTGTTGTCGATTACTCGTCATGATTCGAACAGGTTGATATGCGTACACTCAATCCTACACGTTGAATTTTGGTAGATTCAATAGGACTGTGAGTAAAAGCTGCCTCGAAGATAAATTTGTCTTTTTCTTCTAGCGTTATGACAGAGAATGTGACCCTCATGGCACACATGATGCGTTGACCTTTCCCGACAACTAGAGGTGTTGACGCAAGAACACGACGGTTTGATTGCAGCCGGCAACTCGAGGCTGGAGGAGGATGAACTGGCATTTTATTTGTGACAACAGACCCCGACACCGTCAGCTGTGCGCTGGCAGTGCTGCTGTCCCACTCCAGGTCAGCATCTAGAGTAAACAGAATAACATGAATTAACTACATATGAAACACATGAATGTATGCCGACCCTTTACTTTACCATCAGTGTAATCAATAACATTTCCCAAATACTACAAAGGAATTTCATAATAACAATTCGAAAATCTAGGCATTCAATAGTAGAAAGAACTCAATTCTCAAAATGCACATGCTTTATAATATTAATTTGCACTCCTTGGATAATGAACTCATATGTGCACTAGTGTACATAATAGCTGGCGTCTTAAAATTGACACTTCAATAAAGAGATCAATTCGAATACACATGCAATGGACGTTCATGGATAAAGACTTGGACATGATATCAAACAAATCATGAATGCCGAGTACGGGAAACGAAATTATATGTTCCAAACTGAATAAATAATGATGGAATTTTCAACATTTCTCAGACTTCTTAAATATGTTCAAAAGTAACAGAAAGGTCAACATCTGGAACGTTTTGTGTCTATAAGCATTTCATGAAACACAATAATTATAAATTCAAAAGGTCAACGCCAGAAAATCATCAGCCTCGAATAGCTGATTACAAAGGGCACAAATGGCAAAACAGTGATGAAATTTATATGAATGGAAAGTACAATAGAATTTTTTTTATAAATTTCAAGAATGTATGTGGTCTGTTCTTTTCTCCCAAAATGTCTGAGGATCCCACGATTTGCAGACTTGCATCCGTAAGGCGTGTCATGATCCAATGATTGTGCGTTCGAATACTTGATTTGTCAGCTGCTGAATAGCAGTCCGCAGGACGATTCCGACCATATCAAAAGCATTAACGTTATATATTTACGAAGCACTATCAACAAGTGATGATACCAGGTGTTCGTGAACGGTGGGCGTATCCTGATCCACCGATTGCACACCTCGCAAACACATGCAAAGGCAGGTAAAGTGTTCACCTAAATGAACATGGGAGCCTATGGTATAAGCAAAATATTGAAATGCATCTCACATCATTATTTGTCACTGATGCGTCAAATTTGGAAATATACTCCACATGAATATCCTAACAAGTTTTAACTTCCTTACTAATGCCTTGAATGCTGTAAACCGAATCAAACACCTTTTGAGAAAGAGTCGTATTACTCTCCTTGAAATCTCCATGGAATGAGCATACTTAAGGGTACCTCAAAAGTTGTGAAATGTATTGGAGCCGCTGGTATATTACTCGACATGTGGACTGTTTGAAGTTTAGATTACCTCTCTTGTCATAAATCTTGTTATTGCCACTCTGAATGTTTATGTATGCATAAATCCAAATATGAAACAGACGAGGCGGTTTTACTTGTTGCTTGTCATTCTCGTTCAGGTGGGTGAATCAGTGGAATAGGAAATGGCTACTTGACAATTATTGAACTACATGTATATCACATGATCAATACAGATGAAGCTTAAGTTAAGCTTCTTTGCCAAATTCCAGTGTTTTGATTTTGCCAGTCCGAGCAGAAATTCCTATTCGCATACAAAAAAAAGGGAAAACGCATTACACCATTAAAGCTACTTCACTCGTTCACATAAATTGTCACAGATAAGGTATATATTGCCAACTCACAATACATTCCACTTCCTCCCACAGGCTCCAGGTTCATATATTCTGCTGCTGCTGCTGTAAAAGGAAACAGTCTGCTTTACATTTCTACCGTATTTACTTATTATTTGAAATATTGAGTTTTAATTTTCAAAATGCTACATTCACCAGAACTGATAATTAGCTTTTGGAAAATAAAATGCTTTCTTTGGTGTGATTTAGTTACCAACCTGTTGATATATTGATTTTAGTTCTGCACAAAAGTAAAACATTTAGACAGACACAAGACATGTTTCCTTGAAGTTATAAAAGCTTTAAAGTTGAACGTTCATGCAGATGTTCCCATAAATAGATGGTCTTCTGTTTTAGCCGTTTCCGTCCAAAGGGTTTGGTTTCCTTTTCAACCATATTTAGAATACTATAGAAGCCACTGTTCTACTATTTTTATAATGGCTAGTGGGCAATAATTTTATTAACCTACGATCTTTTTCCCTTTACCCGTGAAGTTCCTGCTCAGAAATGATCCTCAGCAACCCATACTTGTCATAAGAGACGACTATCGGGATCGGGTTGTCTGGCTCGGTGACGTGGTTGATGCATATCATCGTATCCAAAATGCGTACATTAATGATGTCAATCACCTGATTTTATGTCCAGACTCGATTATTTACAGACCATAAAATAGCTGGAATATTGCTGAGTGCGACTTCAAAAGACAAACAAACAAACATTATCACAACATTTTCATTTTAGCCAGTTTTATTTCACATTCTCAGCAACATTCTCATCTTGTGGATGTTCCTTTAGATACTGTTGACGACAGACTCTCTACGCTGAACCTTGAAAGAAATGTTATGATATATTTACCTTGTTCCAAAGTACCTTGGTCCAGAGTGATTGAATTGTATATCTTGTTCAAAGGGACGTTGTCAGGTCTCTTAGCAAATGATACTACTCGGACAATGCCAGCTATCTGCATCAATGATGTTATTTTCTTGAAACATGCAGAAACGAAGCTGATTCCAATCCTGTCAAACCCATCATCTTTAGGTGTCTCCGCCAAGATGGAATTCAAAGAGGCAGCTGAAGATCCCATCACTTGTAGATCCTCTATCTTATCAGCTTTGCCTCTCATCTGTCTCGTGTATTCTGTAGAAGACTTCACATTAGTCAGCAGCGTTACTGTGGAATCCAATGCCTCCTCTGCTGGCTTCAGAGCTTCATCTGACCTTCTATCAACTTCTGACAACATGATAGTCTTCCTTTGCTGCAATGCCTCCATCAGATTGGTGAAGGCTTTGTTGATATCATCTTTGGCAGTGCTTCTGGATGACTTTATGCTGTCACATTTCTTTTGTAGATCTTCAGCTGCTTTTTCAAGAGCTATGCCCTTCTCATCTAATCTCTGCAAGACGTCTTCATTTTCAGCAGCCTTACTTTCATGTGCGTTTTCAACGGACACAACGTTGTGCCCACTCCCTTTATCATGTTCCACTACTGTGCAAGACACACAGACGACCTGGTCACACGTGTGGCAGTAGAACTGTAGAGGCTGGTGATGTTGTGTACACTTATGGAGGCGACGGAAGCTCTCAACTGGTCGTTCCCTCATGTCGTCAAAACTGACAGTTTGGTGATCTCGCATTGACTTAACTCTTTTGTGGGCATTTAGACATTCTTGGCACAGGAAGACGCCACAGTCATCACATCTGGACATGGCAGGGTTACCATCAGGACAATCTGTACATGGCAGATGGAGACCTTTCACAATCTTCAGATGATCCAGGATTCTTAGGATGATAGGCTCTTTGGGCAGAGACTTCACACCGCCCGGCAGGTTATGTTGGTGTCGACACATGGGACATGATAACGTTGGGAGTCCTTCGCTGTACGTCTCTAGACAAGCCTGACATATTGACTGTACACAGCAGGGCATACGACGAGGTATCCGTCTGACCTCATCAAAGTGTTCAGTACATATTGGGCACTCGGTGAGGAGGTCCTTGATGGCGGACGCCGATACGTAGTCCGACATGGTTATCTGGAAATGTATTTAATACATATGATGCATTACGGATGTCCAATATAACTTTTCTTTTCGTCTCGAGACAACTGATTCGAAATCATGGCAGACACATCCAAACTTGCATGCTACGTACACCACTTAAAACTACAGGAAACAAAATGTTAGTATTTGCTTTGTACAAAACTTCAACGTAACAATATCCTCATTGAGAATATAAGTTCATATTAACAAAACAAACAAACAAACAAGAACATGTGACATTGGTAAGGTTACAAGTTATTTAAAATCAAGAAAATGATATTTTGAGGAATTATCAAAACAGGAAAGGAATAAATCTAAACTTTGTTACGTGTAAAATATTTTTTTGCAGAAAGTAAATTTATAGCCTACCTTATTATGTTTTTAACAACATTGTTATCTTAATAATAATACATTACCTTGCAAATGAACATTTCATACTTGAACAATGTTACTAGTATTTCATGCTGCCAAACATTCTTTAAGTAACATGATGCGGAATAAAAAGGTCCCACTGCGACAATATTTGCTCAGTAGTAGATATTTACCAACGCAAACAGACAGAACTGATGAGCGTATGACCATGGAGACAAATAACTGGTTGGGGACATGCAGTCTAAACTATATCCATGGGACTGATGACCATGCCGCACATAATATTATCATGTGACTTCAGCTACAGATAGTGTATTTGCATATCTAGATGTGTGCTCGTGTTATTATCTGTTTTCTTTGCTTCAATTCCAAAAAAGGGGCGGTCGCGTAGCCTAGTGGTTAAAGCATTTACTCGTCACGTCGAGGACCCGGGTTCGATTCCCAACAAAGGTACAATATGTGAAGCCCATTTCATGATATTGCTGGAATATTGCTAAAAGCGGCGTAAAACCATACTCACTCATTCACTTTAATTCCAAATAGTTGTATATAAAAAAATGAAACGATGTATGTAAGAAATAACATATTAGAACAGCATAAATCAACCATCGTGAAGGTGATATAATTGAAGTAATGCACACACATGTCCTTTGTTCTGGTAAATTTTATGGAAGTCTTGCTCATATGTGGCGGTTGCCTTTCAAAATTATAGTGACCTTGACCTTGACCTTTCACAAAAGTCAAACAAAAAGTCAAAAGTTTAACAAGACCCTTGTCCATGAGATTATGTATGTATAGTTTGAAGAATATCCTAGCATATAATGTTATTCTGTTATGGTGACCTTAAACTCTTACCAACGTCAAACAAAGCATATTTAACAAGACTCTTGTCCATGAAATCATGTATGTCCAGGAGTATCCTGACATATAATGTTCTTCTGGTCATAAACTGTTTGTAAGCTTCTGTCATGGTGACGTTGACTTTGACAGTCGACCAGCCATATTCCAGAAAAAATCACATAAACACAGTAACGGTTGTTTCAGGTTTCACAACGCTTAAGGTACTGTCAGCATGTAGTGCATTTAGGTGCACAAATTTAGATTAATATTTTCGGCCGATCGAAAATCGGACACCTGCAATCATCAATACTATTCTTAAACCGGACGGATCAAGCGTTACTCAATATTGAATTACTTATTGGATGTTATATTCCAAGTTTGAACAGATCGTTCTTCCTCAGGATGGAGTCTTATTCATTATCGAGTTACAACTGTATAACTCATCATTCCAAGATAGCATGCAGGGTTATTCGTTATAAATACACATGTATGGTGTACTATTCCAAGTTTGATCAGATAAAGTAACCATTTAAGGTTTTAGAGGTATTATTCTTTAATCTAATTAAGTATCATCGATATCAAATTTAGTTAGAGTGAATGCTTTCCACGCAGGTAAAAACATCCCTGAGCAGAACTAAAATCAACATTTATAACTCCTGATCACTGGACGACCTAGCGGTCACCAAATAACTACACCCAGGACGCCCTCGGGCAGGGGACCTTACACCCACTGATACCCGGGAGATAAGGAACCCATCCCGCAAACACTGGTAGTCAGATCAACTGTTAACGAGCCAAACCCACGCGCTGAGAAATGCTTGCTCTTGAAATACAGTGAAAATACCTTAACTCGTAAATCGGCGGAGGAGGCTCAAATCAATCCCTGACTCAAATCAATCAAGGGCGACTGGGGCCTGGGTTGAAAGATCACTCTAGAATGACTTGGGCCTAAGTTTAGAGATCACTCCAGAGTGACTTGGGCCTAGTTTAAGAGATCACTCTAGAGTGACTTGGGCCTCGGTTGAGATCCCTCAAGAGTCACTTGGGCCTAGGTTGAAATCCCTCAAGAGTGACTTGGGCCAAGGTTGAAATCACTCTTGAGTGACTTAGGCAGAGGTTGAAATCACTCTAGAGTGACTTGGGCCTAGGCTGAGATCACTCTTGAGTGACTTGGGCCTAGGTTGAAATCATTCTAGAGTCACTTTGGCCTAGGCTGAGATCACTCAAGAGTCACTTGGGCCTCGGTTGAGATCCCCCAAGAGTCACTTGGGCCTAGGATGAAATCACTCTTGAGTGACTTAGGCCTAGGTTGAAATCACTCTAGAGTGACTTGGTCCTAGGCTGAGATCATTTTAGAGTGACTTAGGTCTGGGTTGAGATCCCCCTAGAGTCACTTGGGCCTAGGCTGAGATCATTCTAGAGTGACTTGGGCCTAGGTTGAAATCACTCTTGAGTGACTTGGGCCTAGGTTGAAATCATTCTAGAGTGACTTAGGTCTGGGTTGAGTTCCCTCTAGAGTGACTTGGGCCCAGGTTCAAATCACTCTAGAGTGACTTGGACCTGGGTTCTGATCACTCCAGAGTGACTTAAGCCTAGGCTGAGATCACTCTAGAGTGACTTGGGCCTAGGCTGAGATCACTCTTGAGAGACTTTGGCCTAGGTTGAAATCATTCTAGAGTGACTTAGGTCTGGGTTGAGATCCCCCAAGAGTCACTTGGGCCTAGGTTGAAATCCCTCAAGACTGACTTAGGCCTAGGTTGAAATCACTCTTGAGTGACTTGGGCCTAGGTTGAAATCCCCCAAGAGTCACTTGTGCCTAGGATGAAATCACTCTTGAGTGACTTAGGCCTAGGTTGAAATCACTCTAGAGTGACTTGGTCCTAGGCTGAGATCATTCTAGAGTGACTTAGGTCTGGGTTGAGATCCCCCTAGAGTGACTTGGGCCTAGGCTGAGATCACCCTAGAGTGACTTGGGCCCAGGTTAAAATCACTCCAGAGTGACTTGGACCTGGGTTGTGATCACTCCAGAGTGACTTAAGCCTAGGCTGAGATCACTCTAGAGTGACTTGGGCCTAGGCTGAGATCCCTCTTGAGAGACTTGGGCCTAGGTTGAAATCATTCTAGAATGACCTAGGTCTGGGTTGAGATCCCTCAAGAGTCACTTGGGCCTAGGTTGAAATCCCTCAAGACTGACTTAGGCCTAGGTTGAAATCACTCTTGAGTGACTTGGGCCTAGGTTGAAATCATTCTAGAGTGACTTAGGTCTGGGCTGAGATATCTCTAGAGCGACTTGGACCAAGGTTGAGATCACACTAGAGTACATTGGGCCCAGGCTGAGATCACTCAAGAGTCACTTGGGCCTAGCTTGAGAGATCACTCTAGAGTGACTTGAGCCTAGGTTGAGATCACTCTAGAGTGACTTGGGCCTGGGTTGAAATCATTCTTGAGTGACTTGGGCCTAGGTTGAAATCATTCTAGAGTGACTTAGGTCTGGGTTGAGATCACTCCAGAGTGACTTAAGCCTAGGCTGAGATCACTCTAGAGTGACTTGGGCCTAGGCTGAGATCACTCTAGAGTGACTTGGGCCTAGGCTGAGATCACTCCTGAGTGACTTGGGCCAAGTTTAAATTCACTCTAGACTGACGTGGGCCTGGGTTGAGATCATTCCAGAATGACTTGGGCCAAGGCTGAGATAACTCTAGAGTGACTTGGGCCTAGTTTGAAATCACTCTAGATTGACTTGGGTCTGGGTTGAGATCACTCTTGAGTGACTTGGACGTAGGCCGAGATCACTCAAGAGTCACTTGGGCCTAGGTTGAAATCACTCTGGAGTGACTTGGGCCTAGGTTGAAATCATTCTAGAGTGACTTCGGTCTGGGTTGAGATCCCTCTAGAGTGACTTGGGCCTAGGCTGAGATCACCCTAGAGTGACTTGGGGCCCAGGTTAAAATCACTCCAGAGTGACTTGGACCTGGGTTGTGATCACTCCAGAGTGACTTAAGCCTAGGTTGAGATCAGTCTAGACTGACTTGGGCCTAGTTTGAAATCACTCTAGAGTGACTTGGGTCTGGGTTAAGATCACTCTTGAGTGACTTGGGTCTGGTTTGAGATCACTCTTGAGAGACTTGGATGTAGGCAGAGATCACTCAAGAGTCACTTGGGCCTAGGTTGAAATCACTCTGGAGTCAATTGGGCCTGGGTTGAGATCCCTCTAGGGTGACTTGGGCCCAGGCTGAGATCACTCAAGTCACTTGGGCCTAGGTTGAGAGATCACTCTAGATTGACTTGGGCCTTGGCTGAGAGATCACTCTACAGTGACTTGGGCCTAGGCTGAGATCACTCAAGAGTTACTTTGGCCTATGTTGAAATCACTCAAGAGTCACTTGGGCCTAGGTTGAGATCACTCTAGAGTCAATTGGGCCTGGGTGGAGATCCCTCTAGGGTGACTTGGGCCCAGGCTGAGATCACTCAAGAGTGACTTGGGCCTAGGTTGAGAGATCACTCTAGAGTGACTTGGGCCTAGGTTGAAATCACTCCAGAGTGACTATGGCCTAGGTTGAGATCACTCTAGAGTCAATTGGGCCTGGGTGGAGATCCCTCTAGGGCTACTTGGGTCTTGGTTGCGATCACTCTAGAGTGACTTGGGCCTAGGCTGAGATCACTCTAGAGTGACTTAGGCCTGGGTTGAGATCACTCTAGAGAGATTTGGGCCAAGGTTAAAATCTCTCTAGACTGACTTGGGCCTGGGCTGAGATCAATCTAGAGAGACTTGGACCTCGGTT